TCTTAGTTCTTTTTAGCTTAGAAACACAGGCTTAATTAAACAAATACGTAGGACAGCTTTCTTTCACTTGTACAACATCTCCAAAATTAGAAACATCCCGTGTCAGAGTGATGGTGTTGGCCAGAGGGGCCGATGGCGCGACATGGCAGCCTCGCTTCTGTCAGTCTGCCCCAGGGCAGCTGTGGCTACAACCGTAGCTGCCTCCACCAGTGTGTGAATGTGAGAGTGAATGAATAGTGGCATTGTAAAGCGCTTTGGGTGCCTTGAAAAGCTCTATATAAATCCAATCATTATTATTATTATTATTATTATTGATGCTGAAAACCAGTTCATGCATTTATTATTTTCAGGCTCAAGCTGTGGTAAGAGTACTGACAGGGACCCGAAAGACAGAAACCATTTCTTCTATTTTTATCTTCTCCTCAATCCTTTCTTGTTACATCCAGAATCAAATTTAAAGTCCTTCACCTTACATACAAGAGATTAAAAAATCAGCTCCGATCACACCGTAAAGCTCTTATATTACACTAGAGCACTTTGCTCTCAGACTGCAGGCTTAATTGCAGTTCCTAGTATATTTAAAAGTGGAATGCAGAGCCTTCAACTTTAAGGTCCCTCTCCTGTGGAACCAACAGCAGAGCTTTTAAGATCAGGCTTAAAACCTCCCTATTGGACATGTTTATAGTATGCTCTGGCTCAGGTTACCTTGAACCCTCCCTTAGTTAGTCGGCAATCGTCCTAGGCTCCTGGGGGCTTCCCATGATGCAACAAGTGTTTCCTCTTCACTCACCTCTTTTAAACTCTATGCGTTTATACATCCCTTTGCATTTAATTATTAGTTCAAAAATAGTAGCTCTCTTCCTCAGCATGTCGTTAGTCCTGTTTCTCTCTGCTCACCCCTAACCACTTGTGGAATATGGCTTCCCCTCCCCTGGGCTTGTACTGGCAAAGGTTCCTTCCTGTTAAAAGGGAGTTTTTCCTTCCCTTTCTCGGGAAGTGCTTGTTTGCTTTTATCAGGTCATCTGATTGGTGTATTTTTTTTTCTAATTTTTTGTTTGTTTAATATTGTAGGGCTTGTAACCTACAATTTAAAGCTCATTGAAAACCTCTAGTTGCTAGAGAAAATGGGTCTAGATGTAGCTTGGTTTGTAAACAGCTGTTTTGAAGTGTTGACATGACCATTTCCCCTGTCACCAACATGGCAGTGAAAAAACAGGGACAGAGAATAGAGCAGGCGCATTCACACTGGCTACTGATTTGTGACTGACAGTTTGTTAGCCAATGAGTGTGCGGTTTCATTGCACAGATCTTGAAATATAGGACGACCAAGATTTTCAAAGTAGACTTTGAAATGTTTCAAAGTAGACTCAATTTTTTATTCAGCATGACCCCAAATGAGTGTCTGAGTGTTGTTGTGCATTAATATAACATAAATAAAACAGAACTAAATTGAATATTTTAAGGTTTCCATGTAACATTATTTTAAACGTAACCAACAGCAAACCTTAATATTAGTGTAAACCTAAGAAGTGGGCACCCTAAATAAAGTGGATACTAGCAGAGAGGGTGCTTTTCTGCATGGCAAACCTGAAAAAGGAGTCTTTCAGTCTATAATTAAAAGTCAGATTTCTTGCTGAGCCATAACTGAATCCTGCCACACTCTCACTTTTCACATAAATATTCTTATAACTTTCACGGAGGGATTAGAAAAATGCAGTTGGAGCTTATTAAAAAAATTGACTACAAGTTGACTTTTACATGGATTTTGCAACACTAGCAGGTCTACATTACAGAGTTATAACACAGCTAATATTTTCACTTCCACATAGGGTGTGTTTCTGTGCTACTGGGGCCATTTCTAAGCAGTGCGTTTATCAGTCAGGGTGCTGTTTAAGTCTGTTGCACATTCACACAACCATAACATCCAAAACAAACAGAAAAGTGATAGCACCTACTGATTAACACAGCGTTTGGGTAAGTCACTTTCCTCAAAGAGGAAACATTCAGGTCATTAAACATGGACCTCAATGTATTAAAAGTTGGCAGGTATTCAGCTTTATGTTTTTACATGCAGTAGGTCATTTGATAAGTAGTATTCATTCACCTTGAAGAGTAAAAGAGCAGAAAATAAATACCCTGCAGCACGATCAAAGAGAGAAGCTGGGACAGTGATACTGAGAGTATCCATTTCTTCTCTAACGGTGTATACAATACTGTACCTGCAAGATATGGAAGGAGATCAAGTCAAACACACTCTTGATTTTGTATGCTAGTGCCAGCGAGGCATGTAACATCACACAAATGAGAAGAGCTAGTGAGGAAACTCTTATATTAGATTAAACTGGATGAAACTTTCACAACCTCTGCGCTGTAACTGGGTCATTACAGAAGAGTGAAGGATATGAAGGAAAGAAGGACAAAAGGGTCTATTTTTGCAGAAACTCATTAGAAGACACCTGAATTACTGTTATATTAATTCAGTGATTATATGCAATCATTCTAATAAAGGACCCCCTAAAATTACAAATTTAAAAAAAGAAAAGAACAGTTTAATTATAAAATGTACAGATTTTTAACACATGTACAGACGGCCTTGTGCAGATGATCATATTTCTAGGTGGAGCACACTTACATATGCAAACCCACAAATGTATACAGATGTATGCATGGCCTTCAAAAAAATACACTTAGAGAAAATTAAATTGGAGTAGACAAACTTGGATGCTTTTTTGTGCGACTGTCTCTTCTGCACACTAAATGTCCAGTGGTGTGTTCGTTTCTCACATATAACTTCCTCCTCATGTCCAAGTGTCCATTGTTATGTACAATTCAGCACGTGTTGTTATTTCCCTCGTCTTTAAGGACCTACCAAGGCTTTCCCATCTTCCCTACAGAAAGGGCCATGACCTCAGACCCCAACACTTCACTTAGAGGACAAAGAATAAACATCCCATGCCAGCACAAGTGGGGAAAGCCCCTGGCCTCCTTCTACAGTCTTATCCAGAGTCTGAGAACAGTTCCAGACCTGCCACTGATGACCTTAACCTTGTTTACATTGTAGATGGACTCAAAGCATTAGCAGCAAAACATTTGTATCTTATCATGAAAAATCTGGATCTTTTTTGAACAAACTGATTTTCTTCTGCACATGTAAATATGTTGTCCTGAACCTTTTATGAGTTTTAAATTTGTTGAGACATAACATAAATGAAGTTCTGACAGACATAACTGCAATAAGGAGAGGAGAAACGAGTAATGTATTAGCAAATTCATTATTTACATAAAGTTTTGCATGCTTTGAGAAAAATCGTACTTCAAATTACATTGTTGATGGCATATTTCTTTACAACAAATGATCTCATTAGCAAAAAAGTGTAGTACTTCCACTAAAGCTAACATTTAAAGCTGCTTTAATATGTTTATCTTAACAAAGACTACATTTAAGGCAGGGTAGAATTAGGTAAGGGCTTGATTAAAGTAGATGCTTTGAAGAAGCATTCATCCTTGGACTTGGATGACTGGTTCACCACTAAACTCTGGTTTCTGAAAGGTTTCTGAAAAAAAAAACCTTTAATTTTACTATCTGATTTTTTTTCTGTTCACATTTTACTTTATTGAAATAGCACTCAGACCAAAAGACAGTGATTTAAAGAAAAACACATGCTTGCCAAACTTACTGACAAATCCAGTAGATGCTAAATACAGTAGATGTTTTACAGCACGTCACGCAAAATGAACAACGTTAAAAGTCACGATTCAGGGTGAGGTCACTCACACTGAACAACAACGTCATTCATTCCCAGAGTCTGTTGAAGCAGCTCATCTACAGCATCTTTAAACATCTTTCAGCTCATTTCTATGGTCTTATGTATTCTCTGCTGATTCAGGTCCTTCCTGTAGTTCTTATCATTGGTGTTTCAAACTGTGGCAGAAAGTAGAAATAAAGAAAAAAAAAATGCTATGTACTGTGTACTACAGCATCAAACAGCAGATCAAGTAAGTGGTTAGCTGGTTAATATACCGATGTATTTAACAGAAAAGAACGAAGCAGGGTTGAAATGAGAGGAAATACTGAACATGTTCATCATCAGATGTGACATTAAATATTGTGTCTACTCAGCATGTACAGGAAGACACCCTTATCACAGTTTAACTCTTTGCTGCTACTGCACTTCACTGATTTTCCCACAATGCACAAGTGTAGGTTAGGTCTTTGCAGCATATACTAAAACACAGAATGCTGTTTACGCAAGGCACAGCTGAAAGTGCCATCAAACAGCCCCTAGACACACACACACAATCATTTCAGTGTCCCAACCTATCTACATATATGTCATCGGCTCCAAGACATCCAGCTGAAGCGTCCTGGAACATATGGAGGGAGGGAGGGAAAGAGGAAGAGTAAGGAAGGGAGATGTAAAGATGCAGGGTGCACTGATGAGTGGCCAGGAAGTGGCCCTATTGTTTTCAGGGTCACCTCGCTTTTCCTTTCAGAGCCTTTCAGAGGTCTGTCCTCTCCAGCGGGCGGCGTCTTACATAAACATGACTCCTTGTCAACCCAAAAAAATCTATCTTGTCTGATTTCCTTTCTGATCTCAGGAGGTCTTGGACAATAGTTTGCATTTTAAATAGTAAGGGGTGGCATTAAACTACAGTTACGATACACAAGAAGAGGGGACGCACAAAGCACGTAACAAACAAGACTATATGATCCACAGCAACAGGATACCAGTGTTTGAGAAAGAAAAAACAAAAAACTGGTTCGACCAGATCATATAGTTGCACCTGTATGTGGGTATTTACATATAAAGAAAATATGAATACAGCTCATAAGTCAAATTCTACCTCTTCCTGGTTTGGCAGTGCAAAAACAACAACATTGGCTCCATCCAGGTCAGCCGTGCCATTGGCCAGAAAAGAGGCAGGAGGCGGGAGTGAGAGAGAGCGTACCTTAGTTAGAAAGTTACCTATTAACTGGATGTTCTCGGAAGCAGCTGCTGAGCACACCTCGCTCAACCTTTGCATAACATTTCTCCATTTCATAGGGAAGGCAGGAGAAAATGTGGCTAAGGTCGACATGAAATGTGCGAGCCACGGAGATCTACTCTGACAGGTGACCAGGTAAGGCTTTAAATCAACAGCTTGTAGAAGAGAGAGGTAGCCAGTGTCTTCCACACACTGGGATATGTGTTTTGGTTTGGTTGTGAACTGAGACAAGGAATTATATCTGAATATTGTGCAACAATATCACAATGGGAGAAATTTAAATAAATAAATAAATAAAATAAGGAGTATTTAGCTGTTCCAAAACCATGAAGTGTAACATACTTTTATTTACAACTCGACTGGTTACGACTGAAGGAGGAGGACAGGCAATGCGTGCCTGAACGCATTGCCAGAAAAATCCGAAGTATATCAAAACATAATATGGTTTTCATTAACAGTGGAAATCAGTAACATATTTTTTTCCTGCAGTGGAGTCATTTAGTGCTGCAGCAGCTGAAGGCCATTCTTTCTATAGACAGAAAAAACACAATATCAAAGCGTGTTTACATTTCTATGACCTGCACTGCCCTACAAACTGAGCACACAGTGGTTCAGAACTGTGTGCTCACTGCTGTGCTTTATTATTTCAAAGTATATTGTACCATCGAAAATGAGTGCATCTGCACCACCTTCAAAATGTACAAAAGCAATAAGCAGTATTTCTGCTGTGTGTAGTTCCTACAATACTGTTTGTATTGGAGCCCGGGCTCCGAATAAAACACCACAGGCTTGGTAAACTGTGAGCTGTAGGACTTGTCAGCACCAAGTTCTCTGCCAAAGAGAGACAGCAGAAATTGTAGCCAAGTCAGGTGAGGATTAGCTTTAGTTTTAGCTAAGGTTTAGCTAGTGGCTTTTACCCAGCTGTCACTGTAAACGGGAAAAAAGAAGAAGACTTTAATGTTTAACATATGACAGCAGCTAAAAGAGTTCATATCTCAAGAAAACAACCCCAACAACAGCAAAAACATTTTAACCGATATAATAAAAACTCAAAGATCCTAAGGAGTTTGATGCCGACCTTTAACCAAAGGTGAATGTAAAGGTTTTGGAGCAGGTACATGTTTTATCTCAGTGATTTGTTTGGGTAAAATTATAACCTTTAAGAGAACAGTCAAACACTACAACCTTTAAACCCTTTCTCCCACTCTGTAGTTGCTACTCATCTTAAAGCTACTCAAACCTTTACCTTATTTCGCATGAAGTCACGGCAAAATGGCACACAATTTATGAACTCTTTTACTCATATAGTGTCCGAATGACCCTTGCTGAATACTCACTGACATGTTTTCCACCTGCTGTTTTTACCCCAAACAAAAGAACACCATTAACGGCTCTCTCTCTTTTAAACAGCACATGTCTATAATTTCCCTCTTTAAATGTGTGGAGTTTCATTAAGGAAGTGTTAAAAGTAACTTTAAAATATCAAATAACGTAGTTTTTGGTCTTGCTGCAGGTTGATTATTATCTTTTTAATTAGCCATCCCTAAGCTTGGGTTTATTCTTTGTGTGGCTGAGGCTTCTCTGTTGACACTGCCATTATTCCAGGACCAAAAGACAAAAACCAAACATGTCATTTGCGAGTTCATTTAAGCTATTATGATCTTGGGTATAGTTAGACAACGCCAGCACAATACACTAATCATTTTTCAGGGCGTAGCTTTCATACTTCCAGTATGTGAGTTAAATAATCAGGCTAATAAACAATGTCTCTGCCAGCTGTTTTTAAACCCACTGCTCAATTAGTTCTTGTGCCTATCATCACAGACAAACAATAGCATGGCCTGACTCCTCCACACATTTACAAAGGAAGACAAAAATACAAAACTTGGCAGTGGGATAAGAGGCAAAGGGGGAGGCCTGCACGCTGCACTGTGGATTGTTGGGGTGAGGGTCACCCAGAGGACGGCTTGTGGTTTGAATATAAATATTGGTGATTATTTCAGCCAGGCAGATAGCGTAAAGTGTGAGCTGAAAAGTAAATCCATTTTTGTGATAAGTGCTTATCAAAAAGCCTGTTTTTCATGTCTGATTCTGGCTCGCTGTTACATAAGTTGAAAGAAGTTTACCATATAATTTGGTGTCACCTCCTGTTGCGTAATCAGATTTGAAAGCATCAAACCGCTTACATTTAGCCTTTTCAAAGGAGCCTCATCACACACAGTTTGATGACAGGGAGAGCATTTCACGCCCTCTGGCCATCATTAGCGTCTACAAACTGATGCTGGACTCACAATTTGGAGAGGCGAAACAAAGTAAGGCTGCAAAAACTGGCTCCTTGCGTTTGAGAGTGATATTCAAACACAGGCGCAAATGCAGCTTTTTCACAGACGCAACTTCGCATACAAGCACAAACAAATGTACTGCGGCAGTGCGCAGTCACACTCTGACACACATATTCTTGGCTCCGGGTTGATGTGTATGTTTTGCTACGCCTGTGTGAGGACAGAACGGGAAGAGATAAAGGCAGCTCTGTCGGTGTGTTTACAGCCAACACTGCTGAAGAGAATAGCCTAAGAAGATGAAGGGGAAGTCGCCTAATGGCCACAGCTAAGGAGCTGGAGCTCTCTTGCTGTGAAAAATCACCTCAGAGCCAAGAAAGCGAACAAGAAATTTTAAGCACGCCCTTTAAAACAACCACCACTATTTTGGGGGAAAGAAAGACACTGTAAATTTGTCTTTACATCTTTATAAACCATAGTTGATTTGAACTTTTTTTATGAAGCTGGTACAGGAACAAAGTCATAAAAACCAAAGTCATAGTTGTCACATTGTGAGAACCAATGTTCTGCGCTCTTCCTGTGAACTGTGGCGGAGCAGGTCACCCAGTCACTAAGGCCTAATTTCAGTGGGTCAGCCTTCTGAATAAAATCAGGCTGCAATATTCATGACTACTCCAGCACTTCCCATCACTGCTGTCTATAAATCAGTCCAGCCAATGTGCAAACCAAACCAGGATGCGTCAGTTTGGTTTGCAAAAATTAATTTAGATGTTATAACAGTTACAGTTTACATGTTGATTTTTTTTTTACTGCCACTTAACTGCTTTTTCTACAGTCACACTAGTGGAAACAGTGGTTCATCTGTGGCAATGTGATAAAAATAACAAATCTGTTGTTGTATAAGAATATAGAAATTCACATTCACATTAACTTGCCCACAAAAAGAGAGGTAGCCCCTGCAAGACAACGATTTAACTACAAAATAGCATAGGTGCTTATCAACCATGTTTTTATATAGGAATACACCCAGAATCCAAGAGGTTGGCAAGCGGTTGCGATGCATCTATTGCAGAACAACTCCCAAAGTGTAACATTAAACGCTAGGTGACAAATCGTCGGTGTATTACCCTTTTGGCCACCCAACACGTCCCTATATTACAAGTTCAGAAAAACTAGGAAACATGAGAACCTTTTGAAATGAATCTACACATGTACACTTATTTTACTTAAATCGCTTTGGAAAACACTATCTAACATGATTAAGGTGGTGGTCATGGTTAGGGCTGAATTGCACAGCTGGAACGTGTGTTACCGTAGGAGCGTCATTCTATTCGATTTCATCCACGATATCACCTTTCCCGTTCCCATGGAACGCTTCCGGACATGACAAATCGTCGGTATATTACGCGTCGGGAGTGAGAACAGGCTGTGCAGATAGATGCATCGCAGACAAGCTGTGCTCATCAGTGCAAACCAACCCAGATCAACTGGAATGTTATGACAATTTGTCTGCAATTATAAATTTGGTGGCAATACATGCAAACCGTTTCTAATCTGTATGAGAGTAACTGTAGTCCATCTGAGACACAGTGATTATGTGGAAACAAGACTGCCTTCCAACAGGCAAAGGGCAATTGCCTTGTGATGTAAAGTGTCAATACAGTGTTGCTTCTTTTATTTAACTAAGACACATTTCTATATTTATAGTGAGCTATAAATCTATCTACAGTCAATATAAAGGTTTTTAGCAACCCCCCCCCAAAAAAAAATAAAAAAATGTTATGATCTAAAATCTAGATCACAAACATAAACATATACTGTAGGTCCTAGTAAAAAACAGTTAAGAATGGACATCACGGACAAGAGCAAAACTTATTTGACTGCATTTTTGCAGCTCCAGTGTAAATACAGGGGGTCAGCCCGTAGTGCTGTGCATGCAAATATGAGTCTACTTTGCAAATAGCTGTGCATAAAGGTTCTCTTGTGGACGACAGGTTTGTATTTGCATTAAGAACATCGCTGATATGCTACTGTCAACAAAATACAACAAGTGGAACAAGCGAGTTCCTGAATGTAAGCAGAACACGGGGGTTTATAATCCAGTGCGCGTTGCCAATTCTTGGAAATATGATGATACATTTGACAGCTGGTTAGCTAATTTTTGGGGGAAAAAGTGGGTGGAAACGCCGATTCTGGCTCTGTCAGGGAGGATCACACGTGTATTAATAATGTGTTTGTTTCATTTCATAAAAGCAAGATTTGTTTTATCGCTTTAAAAAATTGTGATCTTTGCAGACATCAGTAGAGAGTTCTGGCTTTCAGCCAAACTAGGCAGGCTGTTCCCCATTTCTTTTTGCTACACAACACAAATGGAAGTGAAGTCCCAAGATGCTGCACTTTTCCCATGTGGCTCAAATTAGATGGAATTTCCTCTCAGCACTGATTTTCCATGAAATTCCATTTTAATTTTTCTATAATAAACAACAAATGTAAGATCTTCTTGCCCATTAAGTCTGAAGTTTTGTAGGAAGCTGTTAAACATGCAAAGTTAAGATTCCTTCACACACACACTCACAGATTACTCATTTTGCCAGTGTTTTGTGTAGCATAAAGGAAGGGTTCTACAGTATGTGGGACTTCCTGTTTGTGACACACTTTTCCTATTGTGCATGATATCCTCCTGATTTCCTGACAGCCCGTGCTGAGTGATAATTTCAGTATTTAAAAGAACCTTTAAAAGAGCTTCCTTTAATGATGAAACACTCACTCTCCATAGATACTTAGTGAAATATTTAAGCCGTTTGATTGTTCAGTTTCGTTTTGTGTGGCTTAGTTATGAAATATGCATTTAATGCCACAAAGATTTCAAAGCACCAATGCACATGGGTATCGTTTACTGGTAATCTACATAACTGAGGAGCTTTTTCCCCCAGTTTTGTAAGATGCCTTTGTAGGAAAGTGTGTAAAATAAAAATATTCATGCTTCTTTTCTTCTCTTTTCTACTTTCTCCAGATCCATATGTAACTACAGCAAGAGGTCTGTAGCTCATATTTCATTGCATGCATAAACCGATTACGATACCAGCACCATTCAGCTGGTGCTGAACTGAGGCCTCCCCCCCAGTCACTCAACCTTGCCGCCAAGCGGCGCTCTGAAAGTTAAACTCCTCACTAGTCAACAGACAACTAACTCCCTCATCTGGGGAGATGCCAGCCCTACAACATCACTTCTGAATCCTACAGTGGCTTTAATTAGATCAAGGCAATATAACACAAACCACTGAAAAGTGCCAGCTTCAATTAAAAGGAGTTCAAGGGTCTGCTGGCTCTTGTAGAAAGAGAGTGACATATGTGTTTGACACGCCTGCAGTCCATGGTTTCACGCTTGAGTTAATGGTGCCGCAAAGCAAGAGGAAAGCCTCATTCATCAAGAAGCAAACTGAACTACAAAGTGGAGGTCTCTTTCTAGAAGAGGCTGTACAAATAAGAGGCAAAGCTAAATGGAACCATCACTAAATGACACAGCTTTACCAACAGCAGCAAAAAATGGTAAGAGTTCAGTTGTTTTAGTAATGTCAGATAGAACGTTTATCAGCAGGAAATTTGTCTCTGCATCTGCTCTAACGGCAGAAGACAGTAAATACAGTTCCCCATAGTTGAAGCTTAATGCGGGTATCTGGGTTCTTTCCACAGTTGTGCCACCTCACAACCACACTGATTAACTGGAATGGGACTCCTTGTCTTCTCTTACAGACACTTTGACAGCCAAACAGACCGGTCACAGCTGGGAGTTCTTCGTGGCCGTCCTCGTCGCAGCCATCTTGGTCACTGTTATTATTGCCATTATGGCTAAATATCAGGTGTTTCGGCGCTTCCTGGCGAGCTACAGACACACGCGGCTGAGGGAGAGTGATTCTATTAGCCACTGTGACCCATCAGGTTTGCTTTTTATGAATTCAATTTTAGAGATTACTGCATGCTGACATTTGTTTGTATGTTCAAAACCGAAAGCCGAGCCAATGCCCAGAGTACATTTAACATCTATAAATTCATGCAACAGATTGGATAAGAAAGCATTACACAAGAAAAATAGCAATATGAAAAAAGTGTACTTGTGCTCATAGTGTGCTTTGTCACAGCCTAAAGCATTTTTTTTAAAATCAACAATAGACCAAAAGATTATGTGTATGATGAATGACAGGAATTATAGGCTACCTCTGCAGTTAGTGTTAGCGCTACAGCGGTTTCCAGCTCATTGTCTTTGTTTTCCGGCCCTGCTGCTTGTGGACAAAATAAACAACCAGCTCCTGTAGATGGTCAGAAATTAAAAGCAGATAAAAACAGAAGCAGTCCTTAGAAGCTGAGGGAGACCAAAACGCAGCACAACAATGACTAAATATCTGAGGTTAAAAAGACAAAAACACTACTGGAGATCAGTGTCCAGTGCTGTGTTCACAGTGCATTGAACTGCCTCCAAGTAGAAATGAAAATATCATCTAAGCCAATGAACACATAACAACACGGCAACAATTAATTTTTGTACTTCGGATGCCATGTCCTGGCAAATAGCTTGCATAATGTTTCCAAAAATGAGAAATGCTGACTTACAGTTGAAGCAAAACCAGACTGCACAATTATCTTTTGAAAATCTTTTATTAGGCTTTTATTAGGCTGCAGGAGATCTTCTGTTTAGAAGAACTGTGTCTTTAAGAGCTAATACAGCAATTAAGAGCTCATAGAAATTGATACCTCAAATCCAAAGCCATCTGCGCTCTGTTGACTTACTCGGCGAGTCTTTTTATATTTGCAAATGCTGATAACATGGTTGGACAGAATGACTTACCGGACTTGGTTTCTAATGATTCTTGGCTGTGGGTTTTTTTATTTGCTCTGTTCTTCTTTTCTCATTGTTTTCAGGCCTGGAAGTGGGGTTTACCATGCACGGAGGACGTGGAATGCACCCTCACTGTATGCCTCCAGTGAGCGAGGAGGATGACGACGGCTTCATTGAGGACAACTATATCCCGACAAGTGAGAGACAGAGGGCCGAGAGAGCGGCCGAGAACATAGAGGAGGACACGGAGGAAGAGATTTATGACAGTGAGTTTAGCATTGGTTAGAAGGGATGTCTCCACACCTTCTGAACCACTGTTCTGGTATTTGGGCCAGAAGTGAGCTATCCATTTCACTCCATCTGATCCTTTTCCATGGGTTTTCATAGTTTCTATCTCAAAAACTGATCCTTGGTTAACAACTGATTAGATGCATAAAGATAAAAAAAAAAAAATCCATTATTTCTGGAGAGCTTGGAAAGGAATATCCTGATGTCAAGCGCATTATCATGGCAGTAGTTCTCAGTGTGGGAGAACATTTCAACATGTTCTTATGAGAATAGGCTTGCGTTACAAACACATATCATGGAAACTGCTGGATTTTTGAAAATGTACTTGAACAAATCTCCCATTAAAAAAATAAGAAAATTTTGTTTAAAAAAAACAAAACAAAACAAAACAAAATGTAAGTATACCTTTAAAAAAAAACAACGTATGTACACCTTTTTAAAAAGGGAAATACAACTTTGTTTTTGTTTTGTTTTTTTGTAAAAAAAAAGGAAGTATACCCTGTTTAAAAAAAAGAAAAATAGGAAGTACGCCTTCAGCTTCAAAAGCTACTATTTTTCCTGTTAGCAGGGATAGTTAGCTTTTTTCATAATTCTTTGCCAGTCTCTGATATCAGCTTCATACGATTTTCTTGATCACTTGTCCTTTCAAAATTCTCAATTACCTCAGCATCATTTCAAAGATTTTTTCCCCCCATTCCAGAACTCCGTTTATTTCTCTTCATTGGTATATTTGAGAGTGTGCTGAGTTCTATTCCCCCTTTACTCGAATGGCCTCAGGTCATAGCTGAATCAGTGACTGATTAGTGACAAGCTGCCTAATTTGTGAGGCCTTAGTGTAACACAGTATAGATGTCCAGCTTCCTCTCACGCCTCTCATGCAAAGCTGCATTTGGTGTGGGAAACATAGCTAAGCCAGTTTTTTTTAGCTGATTAACTGATTACTTAATTTGATTTGATAGCACGGATTATTAATTAATTAATTAATCGTATGCCGACGCATAGCCATAGTTAAGTAAGACTGACAACAAGAGCATACATTGCTTTGCTCAGTGAGAGTACTTTAAGTACCATGTACTGTACAACACTTGCACCGTTTTCTTTTAAAATGTTTTTTCTGACTTTCATTGTAATAATTGTATGGTTTTGGATGTTGCCTTACAAGAAAATTACAAGAGTCATATCATTCATTTGTGCTGTTACGGTACATTATTATTATTATTTTTTTTAATCTGCCACAGTCATTTTTTTTTATTAAATTGTACTGCAGCTCACATATATCATAAGCAGTACTTGCAGTTACTTTTCAACCTTTTGAATCCTGTTTTTAAGAAACTGCACTGAGATGTGTACACAAAGTCAGCTAGACCTCAATAAATATCTACCTGTAAGTGAAACCCTTGCTGCATTCTCATGTATTTTCAACTGAAATCTGTCGGGGTTATTTCTGAGGGCTATTTCTCCACCATTAATTTGTGTATTTTGCTTGTCTCACTGGACACAGAGTGGAATCATTACACTCACCTGTCCATTTAAACTTTGCGACGATGCTATAAACAACCATAATAACGCCTGAAAGTGCGCCTCGAGCAGAGGCCTGCAGCGCTTCGGATCCCAGGAGACGACGCCGATGATGAGAGGGGCTGACAGGTCTGTGAAGCTGTCAGCCGAGGCACCCGGAAACACGGCGTGTAAAGTTGACACCGAAACCGGAAAAAGACGATCTCGCCTTCAAAATAAATGGATAATGGAACGTCGTTTGCTATGATGGGTGTGTCTCATGTCTTAGAAACCCCCCACCCACGCACCCACCACTACCATGCCAAAAATCAAGAAAAAAATAATAACTAAATAATACTTATAATAATATTACCACTCCCATCAATCATCACTTTTCCTTTCATTCAGAAAAGGTTAAACTTCTTTTTTACGCTGTTTAATCTATAGAAATAGATCGTCTTAATGTCACAGTAATGTAAATCAGATGGCAGCCTATTCCTGCAAAATTATTGTGGGCTGTGGGAGTAGAAAAAACGAAACCATTAATATTTCTAAAGTAACGTGCCACTGAATGTATTATTTATGAAGAACAGAAACATTAAAATATGATTTGATTAAGGTATTTGGAGTTATTTATTTAAAAAGAAAATAGCCGGAAGTCGTATTTCCGTGACAGTAGCTAGCTTGATGCTACGATCCGGAAAAGCAGCGAGTTGCAGCGAAACGCGTTGACTGTACAGTGTGGAGGAGAGGAGGAACGAGGATGATGGGAGCGAATCGTATTCCACTCAAGTGACCCATATCTTACAGTAGACCCAGATATTATTTAGCCTACTTCTTGTTCTCGAGGATTTTTCTCCGTGAAGATGTCGGCGTCAGCGATATTTATCCTGGACCTGAAGGGAAAGGTAAGTTTGTGGCGACTTGTTGGTGAGGAAGTTGACATTATCAACGCAGCACCTGCCTCAAGATAGTCAGTTTGCCAAAAAAGGGGGGGAGAAAGTCGCACGGGATATTTTCATTTTTATTGGCGTAATCTGCAGCTGTACATCACATGCCGCATACACTTTTCTTTGTCGAAAACTCTTTGCTAATTTAACTCTGAACCACCCGTACAGAGCAGACAGGAAGAGAAGCTCAACTTGTCAAACTCGTTTCACCAATGTTCAGTATACACAGAGGGCTTGTTCTTGTGCAGCGATGCAGCCTTTATTGTACGTGATGTGTCCTATTTCGAGGTCTAAAACTTTACCTTGGGCAGCCCTTACATGCCATGCAATAAACCGTACAGTGGTTAGTTTAAAATAATGGGGATATGTGTGTGGACATGAGGATGACATACATTAGAAATACATCTTAAGAGACAAACTCAAGTGAAATGCTTGAGGGTTAGTGATCTCAAGGTGAAAATGTCATTTATTTGTAAATTTGTACTCATCAGTTAATTTAGCTGGGTGCCTTACAAAAAATCTGCAGTCCTAAAAGTAAGGATTTGTCACTTTTATGTATTTCATGAATACTTATTTGATATTATTATTATTATTACATAACCTTAATCAGTCCAATCTAATAATTTCAACCATAAATGTCATAAAAAGCAACTACCCACAGCAAAATGTGATGTTTTTAGTTGATCTAGTTTGTTTGGGTAGCTTACAAACCCATCACTGTTTTGGTTTGCTCTCGTAAAAGCCTGAGAAAACCAGCTAACGTTCACATTAGGAGACAAGTCTCAAGTTTATTTATTATTTTTGCAAAAAATATACTTATTTTTATGTTGATCATCTTACCAGAATACTGAAACACCTGATTTAAGTGTTTCAGTTCTAACATGTGTGTAAGTTTAGTTAGACAAAACAAGTAACAAGTATCTGTAACCATAATGCTAGGCTTGGTCTACCACCTGACCAAACTATTTTAGTGATTAAAATGACAGAGTGTGGTAAATTTTGACCCCATTATGTTGTATAGACTTCCTATTGTGTTTGTTGTAAATATACTCTCTCCTTTATCTATGACAGCTATTCTAAAATGGTTTATTGTAATTATAGTTTTACAGTGATTTTTCTGCAAGAGGATTGGAGTTAGTTTCAGGGCTCCTGCTACTCTAGACCTAATAGCTGTGCTCCACTGTAAAACATTAAAATGTGGTGATTAAAGTGGAAAGTAATGATAAAATAATTTTGAAAAAGCAATATTGCTAAAAATGGTTAAACTAATGCATAAATATATATATTTGTTTTTAGGGTCTGTTGATGAGCCTGGAAAAGACCTTTCCATTATCCTTGCCCCACCGGCAGCCTATTTCCCGGAAAAACACTATGAAAAGCTGTACACATTCACAGTGGGAAACATTTTTAGGATTATAAATATCACAATGTTACATATACAGCTGGAATTATAAATGACCCCAACAACTCATTAAAAGGATAAGACTATCTTCACCATGTATTTTCTCTAACCGTAACTTATTCTTAGGACAATGAAACAGTGTTTGTGGAAATGATACTGAAAGTCATGAGGATCATAAATGACGCAGTACTTGCTGTTTTCATAAATTTTTGTATTTCTACAATTTCTTACTACTTCATATGACTCTATTAGCTTGTAGAGTTAATTTATGTGGGGCCAAAAAAAAAGAATTGTTGAAGAAGCCTTATATGCTTGACAACATTACCCATTAGGGAGAAGGATCAGTCCCGTCGTTGCCTGGATGTCTTATCGTACAGAATAAAGGTTTTCTCTTTCCCTCTCTTGCGATCTATCCATCTATCTCTGCCCTGAGGCAAATCAGTAGTATCTCTTTGCCTTCAGTCTTCACCCTCTCTCTGCCCTGACTAGATGAGGTCCTCTGTTGTAGCAGAAAATTGTGAAACAAATCTGAGATGGAAAAAAGCATGAGAACAGTCCCAGTGACACTGTAGATAAAAAAATAATATTAAGGTTGTAGTCATTAACCCAAAGCAGTTATGGATACATAGGTAACCTGCTTAACTGTACAAATCCATAGACCTTTTGAACTATTGCTACTGCAGAAGTCTGTTGCATTTTTGTGTTTTCAAGTGTGCCAACCTACCCCAAGCCCTCGGTGCCTCCTCATGGGCGCTAGACTGCACTTGCTGGGTAGACCTAAATGTCAGGCTATTGAAATCAGCATGGCATCATTTGTTCTCTGTGATTCCCAATAGAATTTTTAATGAGCGAACAGGCTCAAGCTGACTTTTTGGGTTGTAATGAGTAATGGCAGATTCCAATAGCTGGAGGCTAACATCTTCAGACATATAGTATATTTGCTCAAGGGGCTACAGCTCTTAGTTTTTGTAATATATATTCAATTATGTTGGACAATGCACATTCATCAACATCATAATGGTAATGTGCAAAACCTTTCTAGAAGACTGACTCATTTTGATTATCTTTTTGTTTAATTGTTTAATTTGTTTAATTTAATTGCGTCCACCATGAATCCCAATTTAATTATTTTCATACTGGTTGATTTATCCATCTGTCCATCCATCCATACATCACATCCTCTATGACTCGCACCCACTAAGAGTAATAATTTTGGGGAAGGTTACACCCTGCACACCTTGGATACCGGTCTTTTGCAGGAATAACAAAGAGAGACAGACAACTATTCACACTCACTTTCACACCTATTGCCAATTTAGAATTGCCTGTTAACCTAACCCATGGATGTCTTTGGACCATGGGAGGAAGCCAGAGTACCCAGAAAAAGGTTATGCAAGCACAGGGAGAATATGCAGGCAGAAAAGACTACTGGAGGGATCACCTTCAGATTGTTTTAGATACATTCCATGACCTTAGAGGATGAATGTGCATGACTTGGGTAATACACATTTTGCTAACAGTGTAACAGTTTGTGGACTGACTTACAGCTAGATCACATTTGTAATTTAGTCACTTATTTAGATGCAAAACAAATGACATTCTCATCATCATCTGCTTGTGTTGGGTATCATATTAGCATGCTGACACACTAAACTGTGATTAATATAGTAAACACTGTACCAGCTAAGCAGAAGTACGAGTTTGATAGAGCTGCCACTGTAGACTTAGTCTTATTGGACAAAGAATGCTGCAGCTGCAACAAGCCCCCTTCTCGAGGCCCTTTGAGTATTAACAATATTTAATGGTTGCAGTTGATGGACCAACTCAGTGGTGTCTTTTTGTACTTTTCAATGGTTCATTATTTCAGCTACAAGTTGTGTACTGTTAACTACTAGCAGCTTTGAAACGTCATTCAACATTTTCTACATAGAAATTTATTTTAGTACAGGAATTTATCTCATAGTCAGATTGAACTTAGTGGGCTTAGTGTAATTTACAAGAGGGTTGATGGGTGACACAAACTGTTCTTGTTTTTTTTGTTTTGTTCCTGTTTGCCTTCCGGTCATACGGCCCAGCGAGGGGTGTCTGTTGCCATGTTTCTTTAGAGGTTAGCAGTGAGTGCTTTCTATTGATTTCAAACATTGAAAACAGTCATTGATTGGCTTGTGTGACCCAGTAACAAACTCCCATCAAATCCCCACAGCGATTTTCCCCGGCTGATTATGTTTTATTTCATTTATTTATTTTTTAAGACCACTGATGGTTTTAATATATAATACTTTGTTGTGCTGGTAAAAGCCAATTATAACGCCAAGAATTGCCTTTTGTCTTGTAGATTAAACAAAGAATGGATCAGCACATGTAATTCAGTTTATAATAGGGCTAATTGGCTGTATTTTATACTTCAGTTTTCATATTATGCTTCCATTGTTCTTATTTCCTTTTTAGTTTTTTCCTTTTGTTCCCACTGAACAAAACAACATTTCTTGGTTTTGAAACAATTTAACTAAGTTCTACATAAAGATTTTTAGCTCTCTGTCACAGTTGAATGGCATTTAAAACAATTAGATATAAAAAATATTTGTGATGCACGTTGATATTCCAGCAAAACTTCCCAAACTTTAAGCAGACACTACTGCGGGTTAACTTGAAAGGGATACATTCCCACTTGGTTGTAAAGAGACCTGGATTATTAAGTAGCAGTGCTTTGCTTTGGGGCATGAAATATGCTAACTGATTGGTTCTCTGCTGAAAACAGTGCAGCACTGCTTGTTTTTCTGGAAATACGAGTTTAACTGACACACGTTTGAACCAGAGTGGCACGGCAGTGATATGTTGACACTTCCGTTTCCTAAAGGTGATATAAAAGTTTTTACAAGTCCTTCTTATGATTGGCACCATTATTGTTACCACAGACTAGTTATTTTCAGAATCATCATAATCGGATGATGTGAAATGTCTCTCAGATGCAATTTTGGTGGGTTTTCTTTTGTGTTGTTTTTTTAAAGGTGGACATCAATGCACTAAAAGAGAGAATTACACAGAGGAAAATTGGTGGATAAAGCAGTCAATAAGAAGCTCGTCACAGCTCATCACAGTAAATGAAAAGAGTGATAAACTTTCTTCGTCTTTTATTGATTTATTGTCTCAAATAGAAATTAACTTCAGCCAACTTGTCAAGTATGTGCACATTGGTTGTGTACAGCCAGCGATGTTAGTGGCCTTTTCTTTGCAGTCCACATGTTCTATATGCCATTGTAAGTGCAGTAGGAGGCAAGTGTTATAGTGTTATATATTGGGCTGTTTGTACTTTATTTCTTCAATTTTTTCAATTAGAAATTGATACTGTTATATGTAAAACAAAGATGCTGGACTCAGCAGATGTCTGTATCTTCTGTTGGAAAATCACTGTTGACTAAGTAATTAATTATTCCCCTTTTTGATGCGGTAACCAGAAACGATTATGACCACCACATAGTTAACCTGCTGTTGAGTCAAGTCTGGAACATATGTGTGCTGGTGTTTTTTCCATCAAGGTGTGATTTTTAAAACTGGCAATTCAAAGGACACTCTTCCATGGGCTTTCAATATTGCAGCTCTTTTTTGATATAGACTTGCCTATAGCTCACTCTCTGTCTGGTCACCTCTGAACTGTTGCCTGTGTGTTTTCTCCTCTCATAGAATCTGATCAGTGGCCTGTTCATATCCTTCTTCTCCCCCAGATTACTTTACTTTGCTGGAATGTCCTTTTTTTATTTCTTATTTCCTCCTGTCTTTGTTGCATCTGCCCCTTTGTGACCTTTGTGCAACAGAGGCTCCTCTATTAAAGAAGATGGGGAGCTTTTTGTGTTTGTGTGCGTGCATGCATGTGTGTATGCTTGCCATCTAGATCCCTGAAGCGTACACGCTTTGATCTCTTTCTTCACTTCACCGTGTGCGTCCGGAGACTAGAAAGACTGCTAACTCATCTTGTTATGTTTGTCTATGAGTGTGTCTGTGTGCGTGTGTATGTCTGTTTTCATTAAAATTAGGAGGTGTGGTGCTTTCTCTGGGCTGAATGAAGCAAGTCTTGTCATATCTGTGACTAGCATCGCATGCTGATTGGAGATGTTACAACATTCAGCCTTAAGTCTCAAGACAGACCTTGATACAATTACACCCCACCCCCCAGTGTGTAATATAGAACAGATCTGAAAAATGTTCTCAAACATAGTTTAAAACTGCACTTGTGTGATATGAACGTGCACACTTTTGTCATCATTTTAAATCCTTGACTTACAACAGCGTAAGAAGAGTTTCTGGGTCATCTTTTTCTTGGTTCAGTCACATATTGTTCTTTTTCATGCTGTGTTTTATTTTCATTGTGTCCACAGTGGAGTTTTTTTTCTTCACAAAGGAGACACTGTGTCTTGTGTAGATGTAGCAAATTGGCTTATAAAGTCAACTAAAGCAAAGTCAATATATCAGGATCTCTTGTGACAGTGGTCTGAAAACCCCCCCAAAAAACAGAATATGTGCAGTCATAATTTTTTCATTTTTTACTTTTAGAAGTTCAATCACAGACATGTACTCACTTAACTAGATTAGTAGCTGTGGTGGGTGTGTAAGCTCACACCCGCCTTTTATTACAAACCGGTTCCAGCTCTTTTTCGATGGTTGTTGAGTCACTGACAAAGAGGAGGACTCAAGGTTCACATTGGGAAAGGTCTGTTAGATGTGTGTTTGCACATTTTCCAATTTGCAACTGTTTAAAAGTGTGTCTGTGAGTGATGGAAGTGCTATTAGTGTTGCGGGTATATAGTGATGAATAGAGTTGTCGTGATACTAGAATTTAAAACTTGATACCGATACCCAGGAAAGTACTCAATATTTGACACCTTTTTTTTAATAAAGGAGGAAGGAAAAAATGACAAAAAATCAATAGGGGTTTTTTTTTTGGTAAAGATTAGTACAATACAAATCTAACATCAATCACAATGTTTTTGAGTAGTCTGGCATATAAAGTAATGTAACGTGGTGCAACCCCCCCCCCAAAAAAAGGACAATAATATTTATAGGTGGTTTGAGGTAGTACTGTGTTCTCCCGACTTTGCACTTTTCTTTACTGATCATCTGATGAAAAACGTATCCTCTTCCTTCTAACTTTAAGCCATATTTTCTAAACTGGGGCTCTAATACACAAAAAAGTGCTTAACTATGCCTATCTATTCCTGATATTATACCAATTGCTTATTATCAGTAGATTGGCTAAACAACAATAGCTGGTTACAAACTAACATTTTGCTAGCTAATGTTGGGTTTGAGTGTCCTAAAAATCCCTCCGATAAACCCTTTAATTTTTTTCACTCTTGCATTTATTTGCTAAGGAACAGAGTCCAACAACATTAGATACACTTCAACCAAAGTTTCACTAACACTAGGCTAATAGCAGCTAACAGTGCTATGAGCCTACAGCAGTGCCAATTTTCACAGACTCATCTCTTCTTATTTGACTCCTTTCACAAAGTTTTAAAGCCTTGAGTAAATGGACATGGACACTATTGTCAGCCTACACTTAATGCAGACAAATGGCAGCCAGAGTTGTTTGTCCTACAGTGGCCACCATAGCCAGGATTATGCACTTGAATTGGGAGGAGTAATAAAACAGAACTTGGACAGCTAGTGGAGAAATTTGTCACACTGTACCTTTTAACATTATCCGCTAGCCACAACCTCAATGATGACTTAAGAAACGGCTAATGTTGCTATCTGGTAATTGCAAACATATAAATGGTTAAAGGTATCAATGCGAATGGGTATCTGAACTGATAGTAATTCTTATTAGTTTATTATCACTTAGTATCTTAGTACTGTTTCTTTCAGACATAAAATGAATTTTTATAAGGGAAAGGCTAAGAATTAATGAAAATTTATTTTAAATTTGGTTTTAAGATTGATTTATTTTTTGCCAATTGACAGCAAGGAGGAGAATATACCATAAATGTCTAGTAGGACTCTGGGACATTGCATGCCTTGGCTATCATTTCAAACCTGGAAATCTTCCAACCCTTGCTAAGGTCTGCTCTTATTCTTCTTTCAAGTTGAAAAGTTGGTCATTCATCATTCATGATCAGATACCCATCAGTCCATTAAAACTACAAAGGAGAGATTCAAGCTGGAAACACATTTTGCACATTTCCACAGAGGATGAAAAAAATAAATATAACCCCCATTCAGGAGGTTAGAGGGTTTTTGTCAGCCACTGGCTTCTGTAGCTTCTTTAAGCTTGAGTGCAGGTTTGGTATCTTTGCCAAAAGCTATAAATATTTAATGACAAAGTCCTCTTTAATATCATCCTCTGCCTCTGTATCTTGTGTGTCTTTATGTTACTCATCCAGGTTCTGATTTGCCGTAACTACATGGGAAACATGGACATAAATGTGATCGACCAGTTCATGCCCATTCTGATGAAGAGAGAAGAAGACGCTGAGATGACGCCGCTGATCAGCCATGGCTCCGCACACTTCATGTGGATCAAACACAACAACCTTTACTGTATCCAAAGAGAGTTTACTGCTGCGTGATGTGCTCTGTGGTGCCTGCTAAAAAGAAGCCTTCACTGCAGACACTATAAATATCTATGTGAATTCTCCACTTTACCACAGTATAGTTTTCCATTCTGGCTGACATTCCTGCTTTAGTTCTTCAAAGTGACAGCCCTCCCATCAATCATTTACAGCATGTAATACATATACCTTAATTGCATCTTTCCAGGACAGATCTATAAGAAGTCCTGTGTTTCAGGTTGCTTCTGAGCTTCTCCACTTAAAAAATTGAACACAGGTTCACTATGATGTGTTATTCACTGTCTGCAATATTCCACACTCAGTCTTACTTACACATTATTAATTCAGGAACATATTCCAGTTGTTAGTAGTATTCCCAGTGCACTGCATTACACAGCTGAGCTCTTTTACCACCCTGTGGCCATGTTTTTAGTTGCTTGAAAGTCTCACACATTCTGTTAACTTTCAATTATGCTGCATTCGTCTCATAATTACTTCCAGTAAAGAATAAAACATGCCTGCTTCATGTCTTCTAACAGATTAAAAAACGTTTGCCTCTTGTAGATAAAACTTTGTTTCTTAACAGTTTTTTTTTCAGTGGTGGCAATCACTAAGAAGAATGCTAATGCTGCTCTCGTGTACTCCTTCCTTTATAAAATAGTACAGGTGAGTGTGGTGTTTACAGTTCATACTTTTTATTCCAAGGATGGAAACGTTGCATTTGCATTATGAAGTCGTCTGATTTTCTATGTAGGCAATACATTTGGTTTGATTCTATTGATGAAATGCAGGAACAGTTGGTGTTTCTGCACCGACAGTCTTGGTTTTTGGTTTGGGTTTTGTTGTATTTCTTGCAAAGTACTTTGTGACATGTACGGTAAAACAACAATGGCACTCACAGAATACTTCCCTCCCAAACTCTTACATTTATAAGAACGTGACCTGGAGTGGTACCACATTGTAATAGACTCCTTCTTTGATCTCCACCTCTACCTTTCCAACACATTTCAGGAAATATGGCCTAGTAGCTGTTTCGCATAATTCTGCTAGCAGACGGCCAGATAAACAAACAGCTCTTTTCTTGCTAGAGGAATAAATGTAACCAGCTCATTGTATAAATTATTGGAATAGGTCTTAATAAACTGCAGTATTAACCAGTTGACTATGAAGTGTAAGCGTATCTATTTGTTTTTCCCCTATACATATCTTTTCAGCACTGATATATGAAAAGATAATAATAAAAATCTTACTGTGGGATAGTAATAACATACAGTATGTGTGCACTCAATGTAAAAAGTACAGCTCAGCAGCTTGCATAGGATTTTTCATAGTAGCTGTTTGTATTTCTGTTTCTAGGTATTTAAGGAGTACTTTAAGGAGCTTGAGGAGGAGAGCATTCGCGACAACTTTGTGACGGTGTACGAACTGATGGACGAGGTGATGGATTTTGGGTTCCCTCAGACGACTGAGAGCAAGATCCTACAAGAGTAAGACAAATGTCACACAAGTTGACAACAGTCCACAAACCAATTGCGCCACGTCTGTTTGTTCAAGTGTAAAAACACAATACCTCAGACTGGGAAGCATTTTAGATTCAAATAAATAATGAGTCAGCACTTTATCGAAATATGTAAGCATAGACGGAAATACAGTAAATACAATTAGTAAGGCAAAAAATACTATACAATTCTAATGAGCTTAAAAGTTAATATTTGGTATGACCACCTTTATTCTTCTACACAGCCTGAACTCTCTTAAGCAGCTTTGTAGTCATTTCTTCTTGAAGGACATTCAAACTCTTCTGTAGATTTTGGCTGCCTTTTTTTTGAAAATTTCGTGCTGAAAATTAAACTTCCGATGGCATTGCATGGCAAAATCTGACAAGCTCTCCAACACCACTGACTGAAATGCTTTCCCAAACCATGTCAGAGCCTCCACTGTTTTTTACAGACAACTGTAGACACAGTAGTATCTCTTGTCCTCCTCTGTACATTCCGATAAAAATTTAAACCAAGAATTTTACATCTGGATTATCACTTCATTAGACCAGTTGTCGCTGATTTTCAGCCCAGTACTTGAGTAATTTGGCATACATTGGCCTTTATTCCCTGTTTCGCTTCCTTAAAAATGGCTTCTTGGCAGCCACTCTTCCATTGAGGCTACAGTGAACAGTAGTAGTTCATCTCTCAGTTCCAGTTTCAGGTCTTTGCTGAATTTCATATTTCCTAAGGACATGGCATGTCTGGTGAAGATATTTTTATTTAATTTTTTCCTGCCACTTCTTGTTTTGTCCTCCACTTATCCAATTTCCTCACATTTGTTGAGGTAATGCTGCATACCATGGCAAGACATACCAGGTTTTTGGCACGTGGATCTTTGGGAATCACCTTGTTGGTGCAAAGATACCATTTTATGCCTGTCAACCCATATGGAAAAGAAATAGTAAAAACATATATGATTTCATTATATAATTTTTCAAGGGATCTTATATGTGTTTTCACTCTTGTATGCTTTTCATACAAGTTTCATACAAGACAGATACAAACTTTATAAGATTTATATATATCTTTTCCATATGGGAAACTGTGTTATCTTTGGTATCTGTTCTAGATTCAACTGGAGAAATGGGAGCAAATGATGTGTTTTTGCGACAGGCTGCTGGTAACAAAGTGTTACCAAATTTAAAATGGAGTCTTTGTGAGATGGACCGATCCGATATTATGTATCTGTATCGATCCGATACTGACCTAAATTACTGGATCGGATATAGGAGAGAAATAAAAAATGTAATCCGATCCGAAGTATCACAAAATAACCTCACAAAACGCGCTACTTGGCGTAACCCAGCTCAGCGCATCGGAGCAGTATGTGTCACCTGATAGAGCGGCTGTTGTCTGCGAGACATGTCGGTGGTCTGGTGGAGCATTTGGAGCATTACGTGCTTCCAAACCGCGGCATTCCATCTCAAAGAAAACTATCCCAGAGAAGTAAAGTGTGAAAGTGCATCTCTGAATGTTTGCATAGTATTTCCACTTTAAGCATAACAACTGATATATATGGAGCCACAGCTGGACTGGCCATCGGAGTTCCATATTGAGGCAAAAAGGAAGCGATTTGTCCCGTACTTCAGCTAGAATTTAAAAAAGGCACAAAAAAAGGCTGGAGTTATTCTGTCTTTGCTGCACAGCTGCCGTTCTTCTCTCATTCTCTCCCCCTTCCTCCCCTGTTGCTACTTCAATCATGGAACTGACCAATGATCTTTTCTGTCGCAAGTCCCGTCTTACTTGTTTGTTTATCGCCCACTTTGCGCCAGAGAGAGGAGACCAGCGGATAAAGAACAGCTGCTTGATAAGCTCTTGTTAGACTTGATTTAATATTAATTTCTAGTATCAGCTGATGTTTGCTGGAGCCATGGCTGTAAAAGCTGCTGGTCATGATATCCGTTTGGATATGTCGTGAGATGGAAACATGAAGATGAAACCAGGAGATGTCCTTACTGAATCATCAGCTGAACAGTGATGGACAAACAGGTTTACCTGTTATGTGACATGAATGAGTGGAAGGGAAGCTATGAACTGTTTCTGAGAGACAAATAACACCAGGATCCTTTTCTGTGTAGCTGACAGCTGGTAACTGTGCAGGTGCAGATCTAGCAAAGTTTTGCCAGGGGGCCAGGTAGGGCATTAACAGGGAAAGGGAGGCACAAAAAATAAATTTCTTTGTTATTTCATTTAAAATGATGAACTTTTAATAAATAATTATCTGAATCTTACAACCAAAGTGGTCATCTGATTAAATGTATAGAAATCCATTATTGTATATAGTAACTATTAAGTCTAATATACATCCTAGTAATCTATAGTACTTTTTCCTATGGGAAGGTACCATCTGTGCAGTCTGCAATTCTGTTATAGAAAGATGTTGAATCTATTTAATTATTCTTGAAAAATAATTTATTTCTGTGCATTTGTTTTACACGTGCATTAAATTAAAGTTGATTATGTCGATTAAGCATTGTGAGGTGAAGGGTGGGGGAGGGGGGTTAATATTTTTGCTGGGAGTTGGCAAACCTATTAGTTAGGTTGTTTAATATTTCTGCTAAGTCCTCTTTAAGATACCAGAATAGGGATTATGGTGCAGCTTTAAGTTTATTAGATTGATCAGTTTTGCTGAACTATAAAATATTTTGGGTGCAGTGTATTTTTTGCATACAAGTATAACAGAATAGCTTTAGTGTTTTGGTTTTTAAAACTTGAGAATGAACAAAATGTAGCAACATATTTATAAAAAAATTGTTTTATTGATTAAAAAATACACTATATCGGATTCATATCGGTATCGGCAGATATCCAAATTTATGATATCGGTATCAGACATAAAAAAGTGGTATCATGCCATCTCTAATATTATGATACAACACTGGTTCATCAACTGAGTTATGTGCAAAAGAAAAAAAAAACATTCCAAAAATGTCCACGTCTGAACTAAAAATCAGTGAAAAAGCAGCCAATGTCCAAAGAAAACTGAAAACCCTCAGAAAGCCTTGAAGGACTATTGCAAAAGAGAAAGCTCCTTGGAGGTAAAATATAAAGAGTGGTGAATAAAGATTTTTGCATGGTACGGTATATTTCTTTGATATTTGTGTTTAAACTATTTTGAAAGTATTAGCTAACCTTTCATTAAAAGAAAAAGGAAAAAAAGACATCATGAGTGGCCAAACGCGACAGTAATAAAACTTTAATACATTACCTTTGTCATTGCAACACCATCAAACTCTGTCTTTTGATATTTTCTCAGAGAGACACCCAGTGGCAAAACTTACACTCTGTGCAGTGGAAGTAAAAGAGGGCTTGCAGAAATAGCTTTGGTGATTTTATATTGGACAAACGGTGAAACAGCATGGCATTTAAAATGAACACTAATCAGGCTGATGAGGTGAAAGTTACAAACTCTCAAAGGCCATAATTGCTGCATTCCTGTCTGGTTTTAATGTAACCACATTTACTCAAGTGGTACCTGTATCATCCATCAGGGAACAAAACAGGAGTTTTTCAGCGAGGTAACAGCTTCATATTTCATGGTGCAAGTTAGCGGGAGAGAGGGAATGAGAGCAAATGATGATTCTGTTTGAAGTGCTCTAGGCCATTTTTTTTCTTCTCATTCAACTGAGCACAACTGGTGACTAAAATTGTAATGAATGGCTCAGCTTTATACACTGAGTGAAATGAAGTGAAGCCACTGCTATTCTTTGGACCACTCGTGCTTTGTGTTTGAGCTGTACACAGGGTTGTTTTGCTTTTACCCTCCTCATGGCTCCACAGAGAGACTTTTGTTTCCAGGAGAAGGATCAACATTCACTCTGAAGCCCACAGCACCACAGGCACATAGGCTGTTAGTGTGTGCATTTTATTTGATTATTTTATTTTGCTGTGAATATATTGTGCACGCAATTTCTTT